GGTCGTGACAAGCTGGACATGGAGTTCAGAGAGTCATTGCAGGATTGACTCATTGACCAAGTCTCTGAAGGTTTGGAATGCGCAGTTTTTTGGGGGCACTTGTTTTCACTTGAAATATACGATCTTTGGATGGATCCATCTCTGGATTCATCTATATATATGGTATGGCTCCCAGACTCTCTTCAAGCTCCCCCTCTCATGGCTCAGCCGTGGTTCGGTGCAGGATGCTCACTCCCCGGAATGGAGTGGCCGAGAGCCAGAAGATGATGGGTGCAAGTCCCAGAATCACGATTTGAAGGGACATTCAGAATTTTCATGGGTTTTCAAATGATGACTCCATTCAACTATTCAACCGTAAAGTCATCACTCAACTTCGCTTAAGCCAGAACGGGGGGGGGTTCAAGTGTAGTGGGACCCGTCCCCTCAACCCTCAGCATGACCGGCGTCAGCACGACTGCAGCGCCCGTCTCCCGTCTCCATGACATCGCCTAACCTGGGCGCGCAGTTAGCGCATCCCAACCTACTTGTATAAGCGATGGCCTCCACCGAGGTCCAGTCATCACAGTTGGGGAACGAACTGGAGCTCCTTTGCTGCAGCGACACGTTGTGCCGTCCCGACGGGATGAGAGATGACGGGACACGGCGCATGGGTGCGTTCATGTGGAGGGCCATAGAAGCACAAGAACGCTACGAACGGGAGCAAGAACGCTACGAACGGAGCAAAGGGCATCGCTACTAGGAGCACAACAAGACCCCAAAACATTTAGCACAACAACCATGTCTGGGTGTCCAATGGAGATCCCTAAGTAGTGTAGAGTAGTCAGTCCATTGGACACCGGTTGGATGGTTCAGGAAGATCCTGAAGACCGTTTCTTTTTTCCATTATTTCTTTGGCGCTCGCTTTTAGTTGCAGATAATTAGTCACTTGCTTTGTCATCCACACCTCCATATGCTCTGTTGCAGCACTCCGTGGACCCTTTCCCTCTTTACTTCTAGTACTTCTACCGTCCAACCTCAAGTACAATGGCATCTATCTCCCACATGAATGCCCAGCGCATTCAGATTTACTGTAGACTGTAGTATAAACGATACAGGACACATGTTCTTCAATGATGTGCATACTGTATCATGGGAGCTACGTGTACTTTTGTGCTGGTGCAAGCATCCATACATAAGCATCCATACTTCTACCATCTTCTACCGATCATCTTCGTTCTTTGCTGTGTGGGCACACAACCAGGTCACCACACAACCTCCACGATCGGTTTCCTCACGGGCTTCTGAGCTTCTACAAAACACCGTTGTGGACATGCAGCGCATGTGCTGTACAGCGGATGAAGTGGTTCTTTGCAACACGAAGTACGGATGACACATGCCCGGCTAAGACAGTTCCATCACTGGCCCAGAGGCCAAATGATCGCGATTCTTTCTGCGTTTCACCCAAAGGATCTCCAGCATTCAGAGACTGAAAGAACATGCAAATGGCCGCGTTCCACGCATCCCGGTATGTCTTTTCATCGAGTTTCTGATCTGGCACAGGAAATGGAGCATGGAGATTGAAACTTCCAATTCGCCAAATTGGGCCCGGTCATCACACACATTTGGTACGACTGGCTGCGAGGGACACGCAAGCTTTAATTTTCCGCTTAAAGGCTTGCTTTGTAACTACAACCTCCCGCGATGACGTTTGGAGACTTGGTCAGTGACGTGTTCTCTGAAATGATTCTTTTTTTCATGTTTGTTTTGACATGGATTTGGGAGTGGTTTTGTCGTCCTACAGAATACACCCCTGAAGACTAACATGGAAGTGGAAAACCAACATGATTTGCGAAAGAAACTAGTCTGTCACAGGGCCGTGTGTTGCACTTCCATGTTTCTCTTTAGGAGGGTATTGGCGAGAACTCACGCATGTTTGCGTGTGGGTCTCCGTTGCGGTTTGGCTGCTGATCGGAAGGATCTTGTAGAAGCGGCAGGCACTCTGGCCATGGCTTGAGAAGATGTGCTTTTTTTAATTGTCAGAGCAGTTCTTTGGTAGGGGCACTTGAGGATACTTGAGGAAAAGATTGTGCCAAGTGTTGAGCCTTTGCCGAGTACTTCATCAAACTAGGTGGATTTCAATGCAGCACTCTGGACACCCATTTCGGATACCAGACGTTGCTGCGTCTCCTGTTGCAAACCGTGCGGGGACTGAATTTAGCGTGCAAGCTTGGACACGTCAGGTGAGTTGGACAAGTCCAGACTAACATTGCGTGGCTACCCACTGACTGATTCCCTCGCGACAAAGTGGGGAGGACACAGTGGATGCCCAGAACCTGGAAATGACAAAAAAAAGGAACCGGGAACTGGAGCATGCTGCTTTTCCCTTGCTCCTGGAAAACATGGACTTAGCAGTTTCTGGAATGAGATCAGACTCAGAGACTCAGAGACATACAGACTCTCGCAGACTTGGCAGCCAAACCTGATCAGAAGTAGCAGCCGCATCCACTCGCCTTCTCTGGCAGGTGAGTGGATCTTGCCAAGCCACGCGCGACGACGGGCGATGGTGACTGGATGGTGCAGGTGATCAAGGCCCTTCAATGTTGAAGGGCCCGAAGCTTGGGCTGGCTTTTGGGGCTCAAGGGCTGAGTCTTTGTTCTTTCGCGCAACCCTGGGCTCCATGCCGGGTCCATCGCTGATCCAAAACACTCCTTCCATCTCCTTCTTTGCAGATGACTGGACGCTTTAAAGTTTCATCCAAAGGCTGGTTGAAAGATGTTGAAAGTCAAGCAGGGAGGATGGTTGTCTTCAATGAAGCGTAGTTTAGCCAAACTGAAGCTCTATAGATGGTTGTTTGTAGATGATTGATCCGTTTTGACATACCCACGACCACGGGCTCAAAGATGGCCAGGCGGACCTTTGCTTTCGTGGCAGCAACTCCTTGGCAGGCACTCGGCTGGCGAACCACTTGAAGGCAATTTGGAAAGCACACTGCAAGTGTTCTTGTGGACAGGTTGGCAGCAGCTCCCAGACAAATGCCGTGCTGTGCTGGCTTGTTTCTGGTTTGGTCCAAAAATGCACAATGAATCGGAATGAATGAGCAACTGCAGCAGGGAAGGAGGCTGAACTGAACGCAGCTGATCGAACTCTGCACGCAGCCGATCGAACTCTCGCGATTTCACCACGTGCAAGAGATTGCAAGAGTCGTGATGGCCAGAGTCGCTTTGTACAAAAGCAATTCAAAGCGCTTGTTAACAGCATCTCAGAACTTTTTTTTGACGCTTCATGCAGCCAAGATGGTCCAGCCAGTAGCCGCAGTAGCCTTCGATCTCAGTAGAAAGAACATTTCGAAGCACTTTCTTCCTTCAGAACAAAACACAGAAACAACTGTGCCATGGTCCACGGCGGGCTCGTGCTTGCCTTGCTGCCGTTCATCGCTTCCACCGACGGGCCGCTTGGGAAAGAGATCAAGAGTGAAGCCAGAGGAATTGGGATCCCGAATGACACTGACATATAAGCCGATGGGATATGCAGGTGCTTGATCTCGTTTGGATTATTGTTCTTTTTACTATTATTACTATTTTTGGTACAGTATATTATTATCATAAAACTATTTTTCTTTGTCATTTCGGCTCTTTTTCCTTCGGTTCCATCTCCCCTCATGCTCTTTGTTTTGTTCTCAGGATCGAAGTCAGTGAGACTGGAAGGCCTGGAAACGCCACACTGATCGGTCACCGGTGACGAAGCCTCTCAGCATCTCGAAATGCTTGCTTTTCCGCTGCCTAAGCCGGTTCAGCGGTTGTTCTTTGGAAGCCACGAAGCCACGCATCAGCCAATCGCAGGATCCGAAGTGAGAATGCCTCCAACTTATCTGATGAGGCCAAGACAGACTATTCTTGAGATTGATCGATTGGATTCTGAAAGGTCTCTATGTATTGTGCAGTTGGTAACTTGTTTCTTTATTTTTTTCCAGTCACAGAAAAGATCACAAGGTCACTGTGCACTATGAAGCATTCCCTTCCCGTTTATACGTAATGTTTGTGCACTTCAAACAATATCAACAGATGATTCATGATTCAGATCAACTTCATACTTCAACTACGCTCGCCGCTCACCTTTATCTTCGCCAACGACCTCCAACCTTTGAAACACCACGACGACCGCCAGTCGGAGATGGTCGTTCCGGGCCCCGAGCGCGAGCGGCGGGCGACCGGGCGCCGCCGCGGCGCCCTGTGGGCGCTCTGCCACCTGGGCGATGCAGCCGCGGTGCTGGGCGACGTCAACTGCTCCGAGGCCGTGGCGAGTTGGGAAGAACCGGTGGCACCGGGCGGGTTCAAGGAGCATGGAACCAGGGAGAGATGTCACGGCAAAATGTGTGAAAAGGCATGAGAAGGACGTGTCATTCATGGACCAAAGCTGAGGGATGTGGCAATGTGATGTCCCGTTCCCCACTTTCGGATGTTGGGAGAATGAGGGAGAAGCGAGGTGATATCATTTACCCGTCAACACCATTGTTCAGCATACGGCATGGCATGGCAATCCATTTCACGTCTCCATCATCTTCACTTCTTGCAAGATATTTTTCAAAGGTTCTCAACTATCTCAACAAAGCAATCAAAAACAGACGTCATGTGCCTTCCCCAGTCCTCAAGGACCTCGGGACCTCCCCACACGTGCCGTGCTGAACGGAGAAGTTCCAAAGGACCATCGAATTCTTCCTGGCGCGCCCGCCCCCCCCGCACCCTGCATCCGGATCGAACCGATGACGCGCGTTTTTGTTTCGGACGGACCGCGGACGTGGGAGGTGCTTTTGCCCTCGGACTATTTGCAGGTGGGAGGTCTGGGAGGGGAGGATCGCGGCGCCCGGAGATCTCGACAGAACGACACATGCACGAACAAAAGGCACCGGAACAACATGTTCACTTTGGCTGAATGGCGTTGACCGACAGTCGCACGACATGCTGCAATGATGTTGACAGTTTGGCAGGTGATGAACATGTAACATCATGGAACATGTTCCAGTCCAGCATTCGCTTTTTTCCATCAGGTGTGTGGCCGCTGGCAATGCCGCGATCCGTTCGTGGACTACTGCTTTTTCAGCTCCGGAAGCCTGCGAGCACATGCGCCGCTTCCGGCGAACGACTCCAATGAGGTGGGCGTTGACTGCCTGACGATCATACACGGTGTGGCCACCAGACTGACCATTCAACGAACAAAGCCACTGGCAAGCTTAAGGCATCTACTGTAGCCATCAAGCTTTACTGGTCATCCGAATCACTCCCCATCTCTCCCAATCACTTCTGGCCTCGCAAGAAGGCACATGGAAATTGTTGGAGGTTATGTCTCCCAATAATACGTGAATGCTGTCCAAAACGCATTGAGCTTGTTGAGGCGATCCTTATTGTTCCCTTCTTTCTGGGTCACGGTCGAGGTCTCGTCTTTGGTCTTTGGGCGGCCTTTTGAGCTCAGAAAGCTGGTCCTTGGAGGCTTCTTGGAGGCTTCTTGTGGGTTTTCTCCGTCGCCCTGTGCTTTTTTTTTTTTTTTTCGCTCAGACGATGAGCCTCCCGCTGCAGCGAGCCTTTCGATGGCGGCCAGAGACACACGGAAATGAGGCGGTGGATCCTGATGAAGAAAGCACCTTGGGAGGTGAATGAAAGAGAATAATTCAGAAAGACATTGTGTCAATGAGTGCCAATGGCGTTGGAAAGCAAAAACCGCTTGATTCCAGCAGATTCGTGGCAAAGTCATACACAGCTGTCACGGCTTACTAGTATTCACATTAGACATTTGACCAACATGTGGAATTGCGGATTCCTATGATCCCTTCCCTTGCAACACACAGCCAATTCATTTGCCTTACGCCATGCGTCTTGTGCATCTTTGGGCCCCACCAAGGACCTTTGCCTCCAGCGAAGTGTTTTTGGCCCTTCTTCCCCCGGCGGCGCCGGCCCATGTGCTACGAAGACCTGGTCGAGCGAGAGATCGTGGCCAGGAAGACCCTGCGGCCACGGCCCTCCCCGCCACCCAGGAGCTGAGCGGGGTGGAAAGCAGCAGGGGGGGGGCATTTCGCAAGCAACCACCATGCAACGAGACTTCCGTCGAATCCCCTGGAACGGCCCAACGGCGGTCTCGCAACGGGGTCACCAGGACGGTTTGTTCGTGGGGTGTGGGGAACCCGCTCGCAGAAGACAGTCTACATGGATCTTCATGGGAACCGCTTCTGTTTGATTGTCAAGGGTTTCCAGGATTTTGATAGCTACATGATACATGGCAGTCTACACGGCCAAGCACCATTAAGATCTCTAAGCACCCTAAGGATTGAAACGTTGATCGACGCCCCTTTGTCCCCAGGCCGAGTCGGGGCCAAACCCGATCAACGCTTCTTCCATGGCTGGCCTTCTGGTCAGCCATGGATGGCCGTCCACAACAATGTAACACATCTTACATGGAGCCCGAAAACCACTGGGTTGTAGAAGAAAATGGTCGAAACCAAGAGTGAGGGTCTATGTGGTCCGTCTGCGCGGGTGTAACATGGTGTAACGCTGCGCGGGTCGGGTCTGGTTACATCGAGAAGCCGGTTGAGCATCAGCTCTCCAGGAGTTGTCCTCCAGAAAGCTGCTGCAGTAGATCCAACCCATTTTTCGTGTGCGATAGTGACTCTGGAGCACACTTGTCTAGGCCCGTGGGAAGGATAGACAGAACATAACCTGAAGATACATGATGATTGATTGCATCTCTGAGATCAGTGAAGGTTGATCGATTACGGCCAACGGATGCCAACGGATGTTCGCAACTTTTTCTTAGCACAGCTTGTGTAACCTTTTTTTTCCCGGAGGCAAGACGCATTGCTTTTGGAGCCTCTGTGTTGTCAAATCTCTCGATTTTCGACTGGCGAGGCTTTGGCAGCTTTTCGGTGATTCCTTGGTCTCCAAGCTTGTGCCTCGCGTGCCGAGCAGCAGCCGCAGTAGCGCTTGGCACCACTGTGCAGACGAAGGGCAGATCTGTCTTTGCCTGGGCGAGGTACACCAAGATATAGTTGGCCGAGTGTGGAATGGAAGCCTGCAGTGGCGAAACAACCCCGAAGTCCACAGAGCAAGTCGTCCGTTTATGCCTATAATGTTCTGCATTTGGTAGGGAAGCCGAAAGGTAGGCTTAATGGAAGTGATAGAATCATGGTGATCTATATAATCCCTTCCACCTATTAATAAACACGCCCCCCCCCTTATAAGTTAAACTCGGTCGCATTTTTTCTAATAGGGGATCCCTGAAATCGGGGGGGTCCAAAATAGGGTCAGTGGATGTGCAATATTTTGTTGACCTTGAAGTGCAGAATTCGTGGCAGGTGCAGTACTTTGTGGACCTATTTCGTGGCAGGTGTGTGGACATTGAAATGCATATTTCGTGGCAGGTACAGTACTCTGTTGACCTGGAAGTGCAGATTTTGTGGCAGGCGAAGTACTTTGTGGACCTTAAAGTGCAGAATTTGTGGCGCGTGCAGTACTTTGTTGACCTCGAAGTGCAGATTTCGTGGCAGGAGCAGTACTCTGTTGACCTTGAAGTGCTGATTTCATGGCATGTGCAGTACTCTGTTGACCTTGAAGTGCAGATTTCGTGGCAGGTGCAGTCACGAAAGGTAGCTTGAGCTACCTGAGTTCTCCTTGCTTTAGCAAAAATGTATTACAATCAGGAGTTGGGATTGTGCATTGAATTTGGTCCCCCCCCCCCTGGATCAAATCCCCCCTGCGCCGGTTCACGCCGTTGTGGACTTCTACCAGGGTTACTTGTGATTGCCTGCTACCTTTCGTTCACCCCCTCCTCTCTCAAGTACTTTGTTGACCTTGAAGTGCAGATTTCGTGGCAGGTGCAGTACTCTGTTGACCTTGAAGTGCAGATTTCGTGGAAGTGTATTGGGATCTATTTTGAGGGAGCTTTGGGGAACCTAATTAAAAAAACTACCCCCCCAAATTGACCATGTTGGTAGTTTAGTAGCGGTTTGAAAGGGCGGTAACCGGTAAATTAACACCAAATATAAACCGAATTTAGGGGTTCGGACGTTGTGTTTTTTTTATATAGGGGAGTGTTTATTAATAGGTACTCGGGAAAGAAGACTTCGGTCAATTTAAAGTTACCCTTGTTTCGACCGGTTCGGTTTGCGGCATTGGAGAAGACCGCCGGGGTTTCCAGGTTCGCTTTGGTGTGGAAGGCCATGAGGAGGGTTTTGGCAATGCCTCACTGTCATCCTCATGGGCCTCCGAAACCTTATTGGCCAAGAATGGCCTGGTCTTTTGCACAGAGGACTGACCTGTTTGTGTCTTTTCCATGCTGTGCTGCATGGTTCCAACCTCGAAGAGACAACTGAAATGCTTTGAGACCCAAAGCATCCCAACACAAACTCCAGATTTTGTGCTTGGTAACATGGCATCAAATGCTACCAGAAAGCACCGGAGCGAAGAGAGGAGGGAAGAGTGAGGAGAAGACGGGGGTTGAAGGGTCAGGCGGCCATAGGTGGATCACGGTGGATCCATTCCAGTCAATGCATTGTCACTATCAAAGCATCCTACAAGATGTCTAAAGTGCACTGGTGTGGCCACAATGCGAAACGCCACTTTAGCAAGCAACCCTTGGTGGGGGTGGGGCCATGAGAATTGAATTGCATTCCCATGTGATAAATCCTAACCTATAAGTTAAACGAACAGGGATGTCAAGATCGAATGACACAAGGAAAGTGCTGGCGAAGACATTTTATCCAATCTCGCTTGCGTGGTACTAAGACTCATGAGGGTGCTGACGCATAAAAGAAAAAAGGCGGCCAAGTACTCCGGTGTGGTCTTTGCAGGAAGAAGGAGTTAAGCTCGATGAATGCAACAAAGAGCCATCAAGGTGAATCAAGTGGGTTCAGAACAGATAATACAACACTGCGACACACACCCACACACACATATACAGTTATATAGTTATATATATAATCACACTAATTGTGATTCAAGCATTCTTTTTTTCCCATTTACTGGTGCTGGAAAAAATCCTTACATCTGGCCGACTGAGCGGAAAACAAAGTCTTGGAATCTCCATGTATAAAGACCTCAGAGCTCAACTGTAGTAGCAAGGGTGCTACTAGCTACTAGTAGCTCCTTGCATCGCTACTAGTAGCAAGGAGGCTACTAGTAACAATGTACTACGTTTTTTTGGGCTCCCAGGAGACCTTTGACGGTGCTCCAGTCGCTGCGAACGGCGCGAACACGAATCGTTCGGGTGAACGGCGGGTGTGCCACTGCAACGCTGGGAGACCCACAGGGCCCTTGGTGGTGCCCAGCAACGAGACGCGACTGGTTTCGGCGGACAACGTGAGCCGAAGCAGCGCGCGGGCCATGAGCGAGGAGGGACGCTTCATCAGGAGCTGAGCCAGAGTTTGAGGGGTGAAATCGAACGATGTTCCCAACGATGTTTAACATTTGCCTTCTTTTTGCGGAGAATGTTTCGATTCTGAAGGCCTGTTCTGAGTTGCTTTCAGCTGCCAAAGGAGCCAGCCTTACTCCGACGACTTCTTGAATGGTGTACGCTATGACTACGCCTCCATGCATGCCGGAGCACGTTTGGTGACCCATGCCAAGGGGCTTTTGCATGCAAAAGCTGTGATCTCACCCGACAAGTCATTGTATATGTTATCGCCGTGTGAGACACGCACCTGGTTTGTGATCTCCCTTCTGGAAGACATTTTCGTAGAATACGTGGGACTGGTCACTTTGGAGCTCTTTGCGTCGGGCTATCGGCATTTGCAGATTTTGGGCTCTAATCAATATCCCACAGACACTTGGGTGGTGGTTTGGAAAAAGCATTTTAATCGGAGGGGTATTTTGTTTGGAATTGTTTACCTTTTTGTTTTGGAATTTTAGTTGTTTCTGCCTCTTGCTGCTTCTGTTGCTTTTCCTGCATTTCTGTGCTTCTTGTTTTTCCTTGCTTCTCTATGATCTCTCCTGCTTTCATTGCCTGCTTTTCCTTGCTTTTCGTTGCTACTTTGTGAATCCTCTTTCTTTTCTTGCTTTTGCTGCTGGTGTCGTGCTTGGTTTGTTTTTGGTAACTGCGCCCCTAAAGGGCCGGGCGTTTATGCATGCTTTTAGCTTTCGTGGCTTTGACGTCACTTGTGCTTGCAAACATGCTTGATGCTACACCATGATGGGGTGCGGGTGGGGTGGGGTGGGGTTGTATTGGGCAAGGAATCACTTCGCTTCGACTTGATTCGCTTCGCTTCGACTTGTAAAAAGAGTCATTCGAACCTTTAAGACCGGAAAACTGCTGTATGACTGTATGCAAAACTTTTCAAAGCTGTAGCAAAACATCTAAAAGCGGACATTCTGAGCAACCCTTTCAGCACTTGAGCCTCCTTACAAACAACCCTCTCCGTCCAAAAACGTCACAAACGTGGGAAAATAGACACTTTGCTAGCGAACGATACGTTCAAACAACATAAAAGAAGCACGGCCCCATCGGGGTTCAGTTACCTTTTTGTTTTTCCTGCCTTTTCTTTTGCTTGGCCCTGCTTGGCTGTATTTTCCTTCTTCTCACCTCACCTTTTTGTAGCGTATTGATTCCCTTTCGTATTCTTTTCTTCTTTATGGTCTGTGTTGCTGTCGCTTTTGATTGATTAAGGATGCTAAAGGCCACCAGGCTTTGTCCATCTGGCAAAAGAGTTGGATGCTTAGATCAGTGAGGTTTACAAAGGCTGCCAAGGTAAGATTTAGAGAAGGAAAGGGACCATTCCAACATAACACATTTTCTGCGAGCCACCCGAGGTTAAAATTTAGAGGGTAATCCGTAGGATGCCTTTTTTGAGCCACCCGAGGGCATACAGTGCTGTGCCTGCCCGCAAAAATCAGTTCAGAAAGACAAAACATGACAAAGCTGTTGAATAGTGACATAACACCATCACAATCCACAACGGTGGATGCTAAGGGCTACCAGGCTTTTCCCATCTGACATGAGACCTAGATGTTAAGAGCAGCGCTCCATGCTTCCCAAAGTGCACTCCCAGGTTCACAAAACGCCGCGCCACTGGAAATCTGCAGTTCCAGCCATACCAGCACCAAAAACAAGAAAACAACGAAAACAGATCAAAAATGAACTCCGGGACCTTTTTCATTTTTTTGCTTGAGTGGCTACCCCACTTGACTCATATTTTTTGCGAAACAAACTTGTCTTCGAATTGTCGAACCTTTTTCTGGGATGACTCAACGGATGACTCTGTTCAGTGGGTTGACACATGTTGAAACAACCAGGAAACCTGGCGGTTGCTGGGTGAAGTTGAGAGCAACTCCACCTCCAACTATGAACTCTTCGACGTGGGATCCCGCTGCCAACGCCTGGCAGAGGAATGTTGGGTCAGGTTTCTGAAGATTCGCGTGCTGAGTCATCACCGTATGGAGGACCGCCACCAACCGACCGGGCGACAGACGGAGGAGAAACTCTCCATGATCGAGTCCGACCCGACGAGCGGACTCATTTATTTTTTTGGATGACCAACAGAACAGCTCAAACTTCATGAAGAAGGCGCCCAAACCGGGTGCCGTTTCTCAGTTTCTGAAACAAGACCCAAACCAAGAAAAACACCGGTGTACACTGAAGCGTGGTTCCTGGGTTTGGCATCAGGACAACTCCTTCTGCGCCTTGACGCGTTTCCAGACCTTTGGTGCCACCGCCACCAACTTCGTGGCCAAGGAGCGCACCAAGGAGACCAGCCGCGATCGTCGCGTGGAACCTAGTCTGCTGGATGTGGCACGCTGGCACGAGGAGCGGCTGTGCGGAGAGAAGATTCCGAGTGGAGCGGTGTGTCGAGGGAAGATTTGTTTGGTAAAGGATGGGCAGGAAAATCAATGAACATCATTTTCCAAGAACCATCCACTGAAACGCGAATGTTTCAAAGCTAAAGTTGCTTAAGTTGGATTGTTATTTCTGCGAATTGTTCTGCCGGCCTTCTTCTTTTGTCTCCTGAGGATGCAGCGAAAGTGGCCACGTTGCCACCGGACGTCCAGCGAGCGCCAAGCACTGCCGAGCGTCCCAGCGCGCCACACGGGGACAGCGAGGGCAAGGAGGCCAAGAGCCTCACGGACTTGTGACCTGGCGAAGGAACAATCGCATGACCTGGTGGCTGTGGGTCATGGCACCAGGAACACTCGTTTTGTTTTTTTGCTATGTTTTTTCCAACTGAAAATGAACAGAATATACAATATAATACATGAATCGGCTACCAGACATGGTCCACCTACCAGGGTGAAATGGGGTCCAGGTTTGGACTCACATGCAGGGAGACACCTGATCACCCCTGGCTGGGTAGACTAGTCTATTTTCCGCACCCAACCCAGGGGTGTGACAAGGACCAACAGGGAGACCCTTGGAGGTGACCCCTTGATTGGCCCATGGTGTGCAAACCCACTAGACTCGGTCGACCATCGCTACGTCACATTGGCCAACCCCCAACTCGTGTGATGCCTCAATAGACGCACATAGACACATGTGCTAGTGGGGGCCACGCCATTTGGTCACGCTCAAAGAAGCACTTGATCAGATCAAACACTTGATCAGATGTCATCTTGAAGCCATGCATGAGCTGTCAGGCCTTTAGCTTTGCTGAAGGATGCCACTACATGGCTACGTAGCAAAGTTTTGCATCGTCCGGCTGTAGCGCCACCCGAAGACGATGGCAATGCGACGACGACACCACAGCCGGAAGCAAAGCCAGTCTTGTCGGCGCCTTGAAAACTAAATAGTCCTTCCTTTTTGGAGGTCCTGTTGACCTCCAATTACTGACTTTTTCAATCTTTTTGCTTCCATCACCACATCCATTTCGCGATCATTCGCGGTCTTGCCATTGAAGTATCTTTGAAGTGCATTGTTCAGCAAGATCAAGAGGTTTATTTAACTATTCTAAAGTGTAGAGTGGGATGTTTGAGATTCAACGTGACTATGTAGATTCATACACAGCCTTTCATGAGTAGCGATTTGAACCTCAGAGCATAGTGTCACGATAGCATCATTGCTGCATGCTTTGTTCATGTTAGTTGAAGGACATGCTGGTGGAGCTCAACGTTAGCGCCACTTTGGAGGGGAGTAGTGGCAGTCCCCAACTCAGATTGTTGATTACCACAGTGTTTTGCAGGCACTTCACGATTGTTTCGCATGAGACGGTGACAGTGTTCCACCGACAGGTGGCTTGGCCTCCTTGGAAAAGCTCCAAGCGACCTTGGACTCCCTGGCGGCGGAAGCCGCACCGAGCGCGAGCGCGAAGGCCAAGAAGGACTCCTCGATGCCAGCGCTGGTGGCGATCAACAAGGCCCGGGTCCGGAGCCATCCGGTTCGGCTTCCGAAACAATGATCAGATCGGATTAGATGAAACAGCCAGAGTGGCATGCGTACGATTTGGAATTGAAAAGGATCCTGGTGCACCCTTCAGTTCCAAGACAAGCTTGGTCAATTACTTTTTCAGTGGCTTGGACAAGCCAAAAGAAAAGTGGACACACCGACAAAGATCGTTCGTTATCCGTTGCAGGAGCTTCGAGAGATGCAGCAAAGTCAGAGCATACTTCAGGAGCACAACAAACATGTGACTCTTGACATTTCTTGAAGATTCTAAAAGCAAGCAGATGTCAGTTTCATTCAATTTCAGTTGTTTCTTGTAGAATTGTTCCTTCCAGTTCACTTGTTGGCTTTGCTTCCATGAAAGAAAGCTGAGGATTTCATGTTTGAACACAATGCTGGCGCTGGTGGTTCAGCTTTTCAACGAGCAGAATGCTCGCATGAAGACAATAGAAGAGACTTCTCACGATTCCGGTCACTTGCCCCAAGTACGGCGTCCTTGGTGGGCCATTGAAAGGACAAGCCTTTCCAGCTATCCCAAGAAGGAATGCCAAGCTCAAGAGGAATGCGAAGAAAATGTGGAGATTCCAGGTGTTCCCATGCCCAGCTTGCCTCTTTGGGAGCAGCTCCTGTACCGTTATCCAGTTGATCGACTACTCCTGGCGATCCTGGCCTTTTGGCATTTGTGTCGACTGCTCGGAGCAACGCTTCGCTCCACCTCTCCCGAGGTGGAGGTCCATGAGGAAGTCCATCCCACGCATGCGACGCCCAGCAAGTCCCGCAGCAAGGGCCGTCCGCATGCGACGGACGCCAACCGAACCGTGTCCGGCGTGAGCGGCCGACGCTTGCAGCGAGAGCTGCAGAGGGAATTGTCCAAAGGTGCGGAGCCTCCACCACGAGCAGGAGAAGAAATCGATCACGCATTGGTTTCGATGGCGGACTCCCTTGGATTTGTTGGGATTTGTTTGGTATTGTTCAGAACATGCTTGTTTGGGTGAAGTCTGAGATCGACTTCCATTGGTTTCGAATTGAATCAACAATTGCTGATTCAATTGATTGTTTCTGAAAGTCAATTGCCCAAGTCCATCCAAGTCCCCTCTAAATCTCTCAACACCAATCGGGCACCAACCACACCAGACCCTCCCTCCACCATGTCAATCATACGTTTCAACATTGGGTCTGTCCTATTTCCTGTAACTGTCAGTAAACGATTAGATCACTATTCTTGAACAAGGCCTTTAAGCTTTATACTAACCATCAGCATCCACTGTTACTGGTATTAGGATTATTAGAATAGACCCAAACATACGCAACCCATACGTTGCAAAAATATGTGAACTGTGTTTCCACGGGATCTTGTCCAGGATCCCGGCGGAACCGCGGTGGACCGCGGAGCCGCGCCTCCTCCACCTCGGAGGTGAGCGGCGCGCCTAGCCGCAGGGACGGTGACCGAGCGCGGGAGGGTCGCGACGGCGACCGGGCCTTTGAGATCTTGTGCCGACAGCTGCCACAGACACCGCCCTTACTGCCCAGGAGACAGCGTTTGAAGATGTTTACAGTAAAGAAGAAAGAGGAAAACATAGGAAAACCATGTGAGACCATGTGGGACATAATTGTAATTTATAAAACACATGCACACAGACACACGACACAGGGAGGATGAGATGAAGACACCGACGAAACATGAGGAAACCATTTTGTGTTCAGACTCGATGACTCATTGACCCAGGACATGACCACAGACTCCATGTGTTTACTGCCCTAGGAATCCAAGTACCTTCTCAGAAGGTACTTGGACCCTCCAAACCTACATAAGAGTGTCGAACACATCACCATTTGACAAGGTACTTGGATCCCTAGGGCTGCTAAACATCGTTTCCTTCGATGCGCCACAGGACTCGGGATGAGCTTCGCTCGAGCGGCGACGAGCGTACGCAGCGCCTGCTGCGCCGGCACCGGCGGAGAGAGGAGGCGGGTGCGTCCCGTGAGCGGTTGAGGATGTTTTGGAACAGAATGAACATGTTTTGCTTGATGGTTTGCCTTTTGACCGAATTCAATGGTAGCGGATGCCTTCGAAGGAAGACTGTGTCACCGCGTCAAACATGTTTCATCATTTTTCTGGTCTTTATTATGTAATATATATATATGTACGTATATAACGTATATACGTATACCGTATATAGGTCATTTTTGTACTCGTCTTATCTCGTCTTGGAAGTACCACTCTCAGACTTTAGTTGCAGCGGTTGGGACAACATGTTGTAGTTCCATGCGTCAAACAAGTGACACCCAGTCCTAAAAACTCAAAAATCCAAACCAAAACATGCTTTGTGTTCAAAACAGTGAGACTTAGCCCCAAGCCAATCCCAAAAGCGAACCAATTTCCCCCAAACCGAGCCGGTTTTTCACCAAAACGGAGCAACTTTGTCCCAAAAACGGCAGCTGTTTATGTCGACGTCGAAGCTTCGCAGCTGTTTGTGTAGACCCGTCCAGCGGCCCGTTGCCCGGAGTCTCAGTTCCCGGAGGATTTTATTCGTTGAAATGAATTTCTCCAGACTTGGCATCAGCTATATTTTCACATTAGTTTGACCTGGTCTTGCTCTCGCTCTTGAAGCAGCAGTCACTCTTTTTAACCCTGGACACATCCCTTTCAGTGAACGATGGTAGGTTTTCTTGTAAAAGCATTGGGGTCTATGGGTGCTGTCTTATCTTTTGTGGTCGGCTTTCTTCTGCTTCATTTGGGCTCAGCCAGTCGCTGAACGTGGCCAGGCTTTCGTTGCCATCGTGGGAGCACACAGGGGCGGACACAATATGCAGTCAGATGCAGTCAGTGTGTTTGGAAGTTTTTTCCAAAACCTTCCTACCGCCTGGAATCTTCTACCGCCTGGAATCTTTGCGTTTTGCTTTTTGTATCTTGAAAGACACGGCTCGTTTTCAAGTCTCCAAGCGTTTGGATCCCTAAGAGTCGTGGAAGAAGGTGAGGAGCCAAGAGGCAGTTTCATTACGACTGTTACACATTTTCTTACGGCAGCCGCGAACTCTACATTAGTACTGTATATAAAGCTTCAAAGACCATCTGGAAAGCTTCTTGTTACTACAGGTGAAATGTTTCCCAGTGAAACGATTCCCAAGGAAGCTTCTAGTTACTAGTAAGCTTCTAAGACAGTCTAGTTTTAGTATGTCTTAGAAGCTTGTATACTAAAAAACTTTCTACATTGTTATTCTGCACCGGGAGTTTGAGACCCTTGTGACGAATGGGGTGGCTGACTTTTCGTAACTTTTCACGCTGTCTCCTTCTTCTGCGTGGAGATGTGCAATCGCCATCGCAACGTAGTTTGTTTGGGCTCTTTCCTGTTGCACTTGCTTCAACTGTGTTGTTGCCCTGATGGTGTGATGACTACTTCGCTGTTGCTGCCCTGGCCGAAGACATGCTGGATGCATGTTTCGCAGACGTGCGCGCGCATGGTTCGGCGGAAAGTGCCGCCACGTACTTCCTGAGCGCGCAGGCGAAGGAGCCGCTTGGATTATTTGGCAAGACGCGCGTGTGATGTAAGAGGGGGACTTGCTTTCAAAACCCCGCAATCAGAAAACGCATACGACAACAAATGCAGTCAAACTGTAGTGAAAGGCTTAGATAAGCTTTTCTCAAGCCCTCTGCCTGCCAGGAAATCCAGACACAAGTCCCCAGAATACATCAATCGCATTGATTTATCCAAACGGAGCAAAACTTTGCAACACTAAATTGCACCTATGCACACTGCTTTCACAGCGGGGGGGTTTTTTGATCTCAAGCTTCGTGACGTTGCTGGTGCCCCTGTTGATGTTGTTGTCGCCATTTGCGCGACGAGGCTCGGCCTGTCAGTCAGCTGTGGCACTGCGCCACGTGGCGTTCTCTTTCGGCGGCAGAGGATCGCCGGAGGCCATATACTTGGGTCATGCCAATGCCCCATGCTCGTCGGTCTCCGGGATGTCATCTGAAGCTAATCGTTCCCCTATAGGATTTTATTGCTTCTACTTCTGAGTTCTGAGTCTGTGTCCCTATAAAATCGAAAGAGTCTTTCGAACCTCCGTGCAGACAGCGTCCTGAACAAGCGGCCCTTTGCGATCATCAGGGTGTCCATTCAGAATTTTCAGCAGATGGTGACGAGCAAGATGGTGACGTTGATGGGTGGTGGCCGCGCCTGGGCTGGAAGGTAGGTGGCCCAGGGTGTTTTCATTTCTCAAGGCAAATCAATTCTGGTACCCCAATCATTTTGCCCCTAATGTTCAAAATATATTCTTCAGCGACCATGTCGTGTGAGCGCGAGTTCCTTGCATGAGAAGCAAGACGGAGGCACACTTAGTCAGACACAGAATGCAATCGAAGCTGTGTTGGGCATTTTGGTTCCACGCAAGCAGCGCAGCAGTTTGACGTGTTATTATGATGTGTCACGCAAGCGGCAAACATCAGTTGAATCAAGCAAAGTTCACTAAGATGACGCCTTCTGCCAACTTGCAACACGTTCTTCTCAAACTTGTACAGGAATGAGTTGAGGCCGATGGGGTGTCACCGACGAGGTCATTTCATTTTTTTGGCGCAGCGTGTGACATATTCGGACTCTAACTCACCGGCGCCTTTTGAGAGAGCAGCCATGGCAAGCGCGTTCCCAACTGCAGAGCTTCTGCACTACGTGATCGATGAGCTTCCAGCAGAGAGGCGCTGGGGCGCTCGAAGTTTTTGACTCTTAAGGACGTAAATTATCTGGAAAGTTCAACATCACTCAAGCAAAAGGGCCAGACGAACTATGTTAGTCCCTGGAAAGGATAGTGGCAAAGTTTGTGGTGCGATGTTTTGTCAGGCTTGATGTGGTGGCTTGGGAGATCTCAAGGTGGGATCCGAGCCCCATCGAGACCGATGGTGTGTCTCCATGCAGTGCGGATCCTCCTTCTCCGTTTTTTTTTGGGAAACAGAAATTGCGCCCATGATCGTACACGCCCATGCTTCAGTCCATTGTGAACCTTCCATCCTGAATCCTTTGAACTTTCCATATGCATATGAGTCGTTTTCGAAATTATCGTCATTGACTTTTTACAAGGGCATTTCATCCAAGAGTGCTGATTTGGGGTTTTCCTTGGAAAACGATACGGGGCGTTCAAAAAAAAGATGCCCCTATTGTTACATGCGTTAGTTCCTTGAGTTTTTTTGACTTCATTTTGGTATGTCGTCCTGCTACAGCAACTCTTCTGAGCATTTGTCCTCAAGGGTCTGAAGGGCGTCACTTCATGAACAAGTTTGTTCTTGCAAGTGTCGCAGGCAATTGGGCGTTGCGATTGCTTGTGTTTGGCGGGCTGTGTCCTCACTCTTCGCTCATGGGCTGGCCCCAGCCTATGAGGAAAGGCTAGGCTCTGGAACAAGGCGCCTTTGTCCGCCTGTCTTGGTTTGGAAAGGGGTTGTGTGCTCGCAAGCAGGTTCATTAAAATCAAAAAGCAGCATCATAAGACGATACCCCAAAACGATACCCCAACGATACACGAGAGAGCGCAAAAGGCAAGCTCCTTAGACAGTGCCCCATGGGTAAGTCTGCTAAGGTGCAGGCAGGCTTGTGTCAAATCAGATCAGCAAACGAGCGGCAGAAGCCAGCAATGTTGCGCTTGCTGGAGCAGCCCTCCGTGCTGTTGTCCTTCCTCACTACACAGAGCTCGTCGCGCTTCCAGTGTTTGCAGGGGATGCTCTCAGATCATAAGTGATCGCATGTGATCGCAAATAGGAGTTCTGCAGTACGCTATACGGTCAGACAGTCTTGCCCGCTAGGCGGTATCCCTAAGTAGGTATCCCTGGATCGAACGAAGTGCAAGGCCGGAGCGAGCACTTGAGCCAAATGTATTGGCAGTGTACGTATGTGTGAAACAGCGTTGCATAAAAGCATCATGTAACACGTTATCGCCAGAGAACGGGGGCCCAAAAACCAATAAACGATGGGAGGGGAGGAGGGGAGGGGGGTGGACAAGTTAGACCGTTGAAAAATCCGCCCGGGGGAGCGTTTAAATTGACAACAGTAGCGAAGTACAAAGTGCATACAAGCACTTATACAAACGACAGACTGCGCAAAAACCAACTACCTAAAAGGACCTAAAACACGCCGTGCCCGAGGGCCAGCGGATTGGATGCTACGGTCAGAGAGTCTTGTGTGCTGGGGGGTGGGGGATAGTAACATACCTGTTGAACGGTGAGAGTCTTGCATCTCAGATCAGAGAGTCTTGCCTGCTAGACGTTTGTCTGGCTGCTGGAAGGATGACGTCGCCGTCGCCTGCAGGAGTCTTGAATGCGTCGTGCTGGGACGGTATATAGTGTCTGTGAGCAGGGTTTGATTCATTGATTGATACCAATGTAGCTTAGGTATCACCTGCCCTGCCACGTAGACTGTGTGTAGAGTTGGCGAAGATCTGCTGAAAAAAGAAGCGCTTTCTGAATAGTATTGCTAGATCCGCGGGCTTCCCCAAAACGGGGTGTGCCGGGTTGCGCAATATCTTTTTGTCCTTTAGCCTCCACTCCCCGCTGAGGGCAAATACACGAAAGAACATCAATGCATAGAAACCATCAAGTCTTTTACTAATGTGTGACCTTGCTCGACAATGTAATGTGTTTCTCGGTCAAACAGATACGAAGGTTGTGCAGCCGCTGCTAAGCAACTCCGACACGAATTACCCTCCGTCCAACAAACATAGTATTAGAAGCGCGCAGCCCCCTATTTGTAAAGGAGAATAGTCTTCCCATACTTCCACGTTTGTTGGACGGAGGGAATTGAGTCATGCGTGCGATTGAGGCGAAGGAAACTTGCAGTTCACTTTCGATGGCTTCCATTGCGTGAAACTGCCGACAGGGCAGGGCTCCAATTGAGGAGGTCAGCAGCTGGTAGCTCGGATGGCATTGTTTGCCGTCTAAATCTCATGACTCGGCCTGAGAGAATTTTTGTTATGTGACGTTGTTCTTCTACGCTTGATATCATACAGACAGCTCTTTTCCAAGACAGACTGAAGCTGCTTTCATTTTTGGAAGTATATGGCCAAACAGAGACTGAAGCCGCTTTCGTTTTGTGAAGTCTTTTCAAGAGCAAGCTGCTACTTCAGATGGCATTGTTTGCTGTCCAAGTTCGGGGGGGGCCGGTATTCTCAGTCCTGCTGGCGTGACCTCATGACTCGGCCTGAGAGACTTTTTATTATGTGACGTTGTTCTTCTACGCTTGATATCATACAGGCAGCCTTTTTCGAAGACCGACTGAACCTGCTTTCATTTTTGGAAGTTTCTCCAAGAACAAGCTGCTACTTCGGATATTATTATGGTATTGTTTGCTGTCCCAGCTCGGACGGCAATGCTCGGCCAAGTTTGCTGTCATGCCTGTCAGAATCTCAGAAAGCCGCTCCTTGCGACGGGGCCCAGGAATTGTCAAGGGCCTCTTGGATTCCGACGGGCTTCACATTTTGGAGGACGGCAAAGCCACCATTGCAGCGTTGAAAGAATGCCAGCCAGCAGGCGCCAAGTTTCAATACGGCGTCGTTTTCCTTTCCTTTTGTTACCCAGGCTTTAGGAGTATAGAGACTGTCATGCCTGTCAGAATGTCAGAAAGCCGCTTATATTGCAAGAGCCAGCTGGTAGTTCGGATGGCATTGTCTGCTGTCCGAACTCGGAGGGGGTTTTGTTTTTCAGAACGGCAGGCCCTGAGAGTGACGAGTGCGTTTTTTGCTATTTTTCATTTGTTCTTAGGCCTAGATTTTACTACAGAAGCTGTACTCCCAGGGTGGCAGCAGGCAAGGCAAAGAAACATTTGGATCTAGAGTGGTACCAAAAACATTGAAACAATCAAGAAAAATCCATATGGGGGTGGGTTCCCAGCCAAGATTTTCTGAATATTCTTTGTGGCAGCAGGCAAGGCAAGGCAATATTTGGATCTAGGGGGTGCCGAAAACATTGAAAAACCAAAACAAACAAAAAACAAAAAACAATATTTTCAGACTCGCTGGAGGGGGTGGGTTCCCAGCCAAGACTCTCTGAATATTGTTTTTTTGGGTGTATTTTTTGTTTTTGGTTTTCCACTGTTTTTGTGATATTTGGCAGCCGTGTCTGCTATTTTTTCGCTCATCCTTTGTCTTTCGGTCTGTTTCGCAAGTTCGGTTTACAGGAGCCAATCGCTAAACGCTGCAACTACGAACATACTGGGCATGAAGAGCAAAAATATCTAAACGTAAATATTGCCAGGAGTGCACTCTGCAGAAGATTCTGCACTTTGTGAGCACTTCTGGAAGAAAACACGCTAAAACGCACCAAAAAAACATGTTTTCAGAAGTTTGTCCTCTGTGGGAGTGTTCAGTCAAGACTCTCATAAATATACATTTTTGTGTTTTCGCAAGGTGTTTTTGGCTTTGTCCCATGGGGTCTGTATTTATGTGTTCCATAAAAGGGTTGATTTTTCAAGTGGCAGATAAATACATACATATATACATACAGGTGTATATATACAACATAAAATTAAAGAAAACACATACACCCAGAAAATCTACTTCCCCAGAGGTCCAGAGGAAAACTATAAAAATGAAAGCTTTCAAACAAAGCTTTTCAATATAGAAGTGATCAATCCCAGAGATCTGGAGGTAAGTTTGTGCAAAACACTTTTATTTTATATAAGTTTATAGAAAGTTTTTTAACATAGACATATTTATTCACAGAGATCCTTTCTTGTGAAATACACAGCTTCCATATATAATCTTTAAAAAATCATCATGCCCAAAGATCTGGGGGATTGCGTTTGAAATGCACCCTTGGATATTAGTCTTGAATATAGAAGTGATCAATCCCAGAAATCTAGGGAACAGCTTTTGGAAAAACACTTACAATGTAGAAGGCAGTTTTAAATATAGAAATTGTTATTTTCAGAAATGAAAAGGTAAGCTTTAAAAAAAGATATACATGCTTAAATATGGAAATGATTGTTCTCAGAGATTTAAAGGAAAGCTTTGGAACAAAACGGCTTTCAACTATAGCGTTTTAATGTAAAAACTTCAGAAAACCCAGAGATGAAGGGGAATACTCTTGAATTAGCAGCTTTAAAGTATTTTGTTATGGAAGGGATCATTCCAGAGATCTATATAGAGGAAAACATTTGATATAGAAACTTTATACAAAGCTTTCTTAATATAGAAATGATTATTCCAAATATTACTTGAACAAGTCTATCTGTCTACCTAAAAGGCAATGTTTTGACCTAGTTCCCAGCACTCCCAGGGCAATAAAACACGGTAAAACATATGATTTTTTAATATCATTTTGGCTTAAACTCACACCCCCAGCAACACCTGCTCTCTGGAATTAAATTAGACTTGACCAAGAACCTAATTTTCACAATCAAAATACTATATATAAGTTATTTTTGTTTTCAAGAAATATGAGATTTGACCCTATAGTGGTTATGCCAAAGTTTTACTATTCCTTCGTCTAAAGAAAATTTTAGCTTTTGCAGTAATTAAGGGTACCCTTCACACCCAATTGTCTTGCCAAACTCTCACCTTCTAGCTCTGCCAAGGCAACTGGACACTATATAGATGCTGATAAGCCACTTAATTCTAAAAATAGCAAAAAAGTGCACTCTCACAGCCTGCCACTTTGTTGTTTTTTTGGCTCCCGTGACCTCATGTCTGACTTGGCGAGAGAGAAACTGTGTTATGTTACGTTGGCAAGTGTTTGATATCATACACACAGCCCAGTTCAAACAGAGACCGAAGCCGCATTCGTTTTGTGAAGTTTTCCAAGGGCAAGCTGCTACTTCGGATGGCGTTGTTTGCTGTCCAAGTTTGGGGGGGGCCGTTTTTTTCTCAAGACTGCCGCGACCTCTTGACTCCGCAGAAAGGCGCACTTCTTCCCGTGACCTCGTGAGAGAAACTTTGTTACGTTATTCCTACGTTGTTACATGCTTGATACTATTCAGACAGTCCTTTTCCAGGAGAGACCGAAGCCGCTTTTGTTTTGTGAAGTCTTTCGAAGAGCAAGCTGGCAGTTGGGGTGGCATTGTTTGCCGTCCCAGTTCGGACAGCATTGCTCGGCCAAGTTTGCTGTCCAACAGGAGCTCTTGATCCCAGCATTTTTCATGTTGTCGGCAGATGCCTGCAGATTTTTTTGAACGTGTTCTTATGCAAAGAAGTAGCGCAACCAGGTGATGCCTATATTCCCACATATGGACGCGCAAGGGAATAATATATTTCATGTATACATGCTGGTATCTATGGACCAGGTTGCAAATAGTTTCTGCCATTGCTTTCGCAAGTAGATTTTTGTAGCGGGCCCCAAGCTAAACAACCTGGCGTGCAGCTTCCGCCTAGGGACTTGGGCTAGAAATTGTGTATTTTATTCAACCCCAAAGTATGCGTAACCCATAATTTTGTGTTGACTCATTGCAAATGCATGTCTCTCGTAATTACATTTCCTGGCTAAGAATTGCGCTAGGCTAGCCGCGCGCTAGCACTGCGATAGATCTGAGCTAGCAAACGTCGCCAGGTTCATGCGTAGACCCTTCAAAGGCTGAGTGTAAAAGAGCTCAGGCAGCAGTGGTTTAACAGTTTAACCTTTCTTAGAGCTTTTGAGAATGTCTGCCTAATCTGGACTGGCACGCCAGGCTTGAAGATGCGCGCCCAGGCGGTTCCGGGAAGTCTAACCCAGCGGTATCCAGCTGAGAAGTGAAACCTCTAGCCAGCCTACTATTGTAAACTTGTAAAAGGCATGCGGCCAGCCGGTTTCCAGCCAGTGGTTCAATTACCCCTTTCAATACAACCTGTACGCGCCGGGTCAACAAAGAATGTTGTGCAATCAAGTGAAACCTTGCCGAAAGTTAATTGTTTGTTACTGCCTTATTCTGCGCATAGACTAGAGACGTTTCTTGCAGCAGTGCGCAAAGGTTTCATTGGATTCTCGCACGCCCCGGCGCGCCGGGTCAACAAAGAATGTTGTTGCGGCGGCGCGCCCCAGCGTGCCGGGGCGTGCAACAATCCAATGAAAAGTTGTGGACGTAGAGAAGTTTTTTGCAGCGCATAGAGAAGTCTTTTGCAGCAGCAAACCCCGGCGCGCCGGGTCAAGAAAGAATCTTGTGGCGGCGCGCGCCGTGCCGGGGCGCGCAACAGTCCAGTAATTCCTTTGCGCGTCTGGCTGCAAGAAAGTACGGTATGTGCAGAGTAGAGGCAGTAACAAGCAATCAACTTTCCACCAGGTGTCATTGGCGTGTCGCCGCAACAGCATTCTTTGTTGACCCGCCGCGCCGGGGCGTGCAAGAAACCAATTAAACCTTTTTTTTGCGCTGGTGCGAGAAACTCTTCTAGTTGCAGAATATGGCAGCAGTAACACACGATTAACTTGCCACAAGGTTTCATTGGCTTCCTGCACGACGCCGCAACATTCTTGGTTGACCCGGCGCGCCGGGGCGTGCAAGAATCCAAAGAAAGCTTTTGTCTGCTGCTGCAAGAAACTCTTCTATTTGCAGAATATGGCAGCAGCAACGCAAGATTAACTTTCCACAAGGCTTCATTGGATTCCTGCACGCCGCCGCAACATTATTTGCTGACTCGGCGCGCCGGGGCGTGCAAGAATCCAACGAAACCCTTTTTTATGTGCTGCTGCAAAAAACTTCTTTATGTGCAGAATATAGGCAATAACAAACAATTTTCCACCAGGTTTCATTGGATTGCTGCACGCCCCCGCGCGCAGGGGCGTGCCGCCGCAACAGCATTCTTAGTTGACCCTGCGCGCCGGGGCGCGCAAGAATCTAATGAAACCTTTTTGCACGCTGCTGCGAGAAACTTGCATTTCCAGAATAAGGCAGTAACAAACGATTAACTTTTCACACGGTTTCATTGGATTCCTGCAGGCCCCAGCGCGCCGGGGTGCCGCCCAGTGCTGCCACAAGATTCTTTCTTCACCTGGCGTGCCGGGGTGTGGCGCTGCAGGAAACGTTTCTATGTGCAGAACAAGGCGCCAACAAAGGATTGACTGTCCACAAGGCTTCATTGGATTCCTGCACGCCCCGGCCCCGTGCGCCAGAAGATTTCCTTTTTCACCCGGCGCACCGGGGTGTGCTGTTGCAAGAAACGTTTCTATGTGCAGAATATGGCCGTAACAAGCGATCAACTTTCCACATCAACTTGCCACAAGACTTCACTGGATTCCTGCACACCCCGGCGCGCCGGGTCAACAATAATGTTGTGGCAGCGCGGCCCGGCGCGCCGGGGCGTGCAAGAATCCAATGAAGCCAAGTTGATTGCTTGTTACTGCCTATACTCTGCACACACAGTAGTTTCCTGCAGCAGCAGCGCACAAAAAGGTTTCATTGGATACCTGGGTTAAGTCGTCTGGTCTTGTAGACAGTCGTCTGGATGCTGCGTTTCCATGCGGGTTAGATGCAAGATGGCACTATAACTAGCTGGAAGAGTATCAGGTCAACAACATTGTTTGGACGCTGCGTTTCCATGCGGTTTACGCGCAAGATGGCAATATAATTGGAAGATAAGCTTTGGAGTATCAGTTCAACGCCATTGATTGGATGCCTCAACAGTTTCCATGCAGATTATAGAGGGAAGATGACCAAAAAGTGATGTGAAGATAACCTCTCAAGATTTCTGGAGTATCAGTTGGGTAGATGGATGCCTCAACTCGCGCGGCGCTCGCGGCAAGTTCGAAAAGACTCGCGCGGCGCCAGTGTAGCGAAACTACTTTTACAAAGTTCCTATGTTTAAATCAATCTAGCCAGACCGCCGACTGTTGGAATCGCTGACTCGTGTAGTCGCAGCGTGCTGCATCTATGTTTGCAGGCTAATCTTCATGATCATCGTACCAGCTTGACATCGTTCAAGACAGGACAACATCCTTCGGAACAAATGACAGCTCACATGTGTCAGGCAGCAAGCCAGGCCATGTGCCAGGTTGGTTTGTCAATGCATATTCCTTTCCATCGTTGTAACCAGCCGTTTTTTAAGTGTAGGACAAATAAGGTCCTAAGTGACCACACACTATGCATACCCTTGTAGCGTTACAGTAAGTAAGTACTTGACTGGGCTGTTTGGATCAGTGCGAGATCACTTTTTGGCGCCTGGTGGACCAAGTACGCCGGGCATTGAAAGAAGATCTAGGTGTCATCGTAGTAATCAATTAAACTGAAATCGGTGATTTGGCTGTTTTGGGGTGAGCAAATGTTAAATCAACTCCATCCCTTCACACGTCGAACAACACTAGTTCTGTCAAGCATGTGAAGAAATACCTGGCCAATAGCGGGCTGCTCTGAAAAGGCAGCGTTCTTTGCAAGAAGAGCGCGAGCCTAACGGCAGAAGCATCAGTAGTTGAGTAGGCACGCCAGCAGATGCTTGTAGAAAAGAGACGTGTTTTCCAAAACTCAGGGACCAAGGAATCAAGATATTCGGACGATGCGAATATCAGGTTCCCCCCGCGCACATTCTCATCGTTTCTTTTTCTCCATACAATCTGGGATCTCTACCAGGAGTTTTTTGGCTTAGATGGAATGTGAAAAATTCCTCCGGGCTTGATAAAAAGGCCAGGTTCCATATGTGAGTGTTCAATGTCGAAGGGCTTCCTTTCAGTGAGCTGTGAGATGCATTTTTTCTTTCTCTTCCTCTTTCTCTCTTTCTCTCTTTCTCTCTGTCTCTCTTTCTCTCTTTCTCTCTTTCTCTCTTTCTCTCTTTCTCTCT